GTGCGGAGGAGGTTGTGGAGCTTGTTGGTGAGATTGGGCTGCAGGCTAAGCTCTAATGTTGATTGCTAGTAGCGGAAAGAACAAACTACTGCTGAGACAGTTCAACCTTAGACCACCAAAAGTCACTTTCCTCCTTCGCATACGTGTCGTCAACCATGATAGCCGGCTCACCAATAGTCTGCCCGCCGATCATCTCCTCGTTATCCCTCCCAAAGATCATCACCTTCGGATCCGCTCTATCATAGCTCTTCCATTCCGTTCTGTTCGCATACGGGCCACCAAGCGCATTTGGAGTGCCAGTACAAATGAAGCTAGTGATGTACGCGTGCAAGATACCCGACAATTCGTCCTGGCTCTTCGACTTCGAAATGAACTTAGGGTCTCTCATTTCATAGAACATGTTGTCTGCGTGACGAGCTCCATCGACGATGTCGCGTCTCATTGCCCAGTGATACAGGTATACAGGTGCATCTTGACTGACGAAGAAAGCCGTTTGACGTACCGGGCCCACGTATGCGTAGTGCGCGTAGGCCGCCTCGATACGCTTGTACATAGCGCCGACACCATGCTCGAGCCGCGTCTCTTTATAAATAGAGTCCGCTACTTCGGTCGGGTCAGGGTACAACTTGTGTATCGTTTGGATATCGTCGTCGCTCATCTGTGGCAGCAAGGTTTTCCAGAAATCTAGGAATTCCGAGGAAGTCGACATCTTCTTGTTGACGTACAGCGAGCCTTCATTCCCTTGAAATCCGGTCATGATGGGCATCTTGTACCATTTGCCCGTCCGCCATGCATCGATTGGACGGCGGCGGATGATCTCATTGTCGATTACTGGCTGGAACGCCCAGCGTAGACTGGGGTTGTACTTCTGGAATACCTTGGTTTGGGCCTTGGCGATTGTGGAAGTGGGAAGTTTGCGTAGGAAGCTGAAGACTTCCGACTCTGGTAGGGTTGAAGGGAATTCAACTTCTTCCAGAAAGTCTTTGAACTGCATCTCGTGGATCTCTGCGTCGGAGTTGCGAACAGCGCGGGATGTCGGAGCGCCTGACTCAATGATGACACGATGAAACTTGGGCTTTACACCCTCCTCATAGTTCAAAAGATGATGCCCTATCTAGACGAACGTCAGTAAATTTGATCAGGGTATCCAGCGGCTCAAACATACCGAATGCGCGCCGGCCGAGAGTCCTATGAGCGTTACATTGTTCTTGTCGCCACCGAAGTGCTCGATGTTCTCTTCCACCCAGTCAAGTAAGCAGATCTGATCCTTCAAGCCCAGGTTGAGTGCGCCTTCTGCAGCGCTCAGCTTTGATGGCAGGAATCCCAACGCTCCTATGCGGTAACCGAACGATACTGCGATGAAGGGCGACTCAGACCATCCAACCATAGACGCCGTATCGTGCATCGCAGCATTTCCTCGATTGAAAGCTCCCCCATGAAGGTAGACTGCAACTGGCAGAGCGGTCGCTTTGTCGGGTTGAGCTTGCCGGAAGACGTTCACTGTGAGGCAGTCTTCACTCTCCTCTAATTTCGGTCCAACTATCATGAGCTGCTGTGCTGGAGCTCTTGGGCCGAAACTTGAAGCATCTATAGTGTCTTGACTAGGTGCTACCTTTTGTGGTGGTCGGAATCGGCGTTCACCTGTTGGTGGTAACGCATAGGGGACTCCTCTGAAGGCTTCAACGGCCCGTGGATAGTCGCCCGGCAAGGTCGTACCTAACAGAGTACCCTGTGTAATTTTCACTTCCGGTCTCGTCATTGCGATGGATGTTGTGTCAATTGCTAGCAAGTTGTCAGTATGCGAGGCCAAGCCAAGTCTTTCGACACACCTGTGAACTGTAAATCGTATGCTCACTATGTCAAGTGATACCAGTGCTCTGAACTGTGTGGATGTGTTAGTCTAAAGCTGACGCGGTACTCAAATGCCGATGTCAATAGATAGCCGTTGTAGCATGAGCACCGGCATCGGCTAATGCCCCACCCTGCTATCTCAGGCCCAGCTCGCTGCGGGTACTGCGGGCAGCGACCTTCCGAACGTGCATACCTATCGCAGGGACCACCTGCCGGATCTATTCGGTCAGTTTGATGTAACACTAGGAGCGGCTCGGTGTTGATAAGGTTACTAGGCATCTTCCCATCAATACTGTTCAATTGCATTGATGGCACCCGACCTATCCCTACCACCTCAGGCCCCGGAGCTCGGTCAATGCGACGACTTCGACTGGAATCGCGCCGCGTTTGCTGTCTACACCTTTGTCGACGGGGTATCACTTCAAGATGTCGCCTCGACTCTTGAGAAGCAGTGGTTAGAGCAGGGCAACGAGGATCATCTCGTTCGACCTGCGCCTTCCACATCAGAGCTTAAGACACTCCAAGAAGTCTTACATGCTCACATAGCCTTGGACAAAGGGGCAGACAGCGGACCGAATGAATTAGAGTGGTGGCCGATTGCGTTCATCGTCGTGGTTCGAGTGGACTGGAAAGAACCTGGAGGGTTGCTGTTCGTGTTCGCAGACGACGAGAACGATTACAAGCTGGACAAGTTCTTTTTCAAGGTCGATGATGCGTACATGATGCTTTCGAGTCTGAGCTTCCAGGATGAGACTGAGGCTGGGAGTAAGGAGGCATACGCCCAAGGGTATTACGATGACGCAGAGTGGAGGAGCTACCCAGCACTCCCGCAACCTGAACGACGATGAGACACTCACAGATGAGAGGCATCGCAAGTATTGTGTACCAAGGAGGCGTACGGCCATAAGCCCCAGAGTGGATAGAAGGCTAAGCTGATTACTGTTATGTATCGTATTTGGTCCACTGTGATGTTACTATTGCCACGAGAGTTTGCGCATGCTCGATGTAGATGTACAAAGCTTATAGGCAGTTTCGGTAGTAGAAGCATTGCCGCCGCGGGCGCCAGGACGCGCCACGAACTGGGCTCGCCGGAGAATGCACTTTTCCTGCGTCGACAACGCTCACGAAATTGTCGGGTTCTTTGTAGGGTCCCACCCAGTCACACCATCGCTGTTCGGTGTCCGTCGACAGTGGGTGGAGATGATGATGCGTTTGTTTCCAAGGTCGCGCTTGGGTGGGCAGCACCTGCCCAAAGCTGGCGCGTTGCCGAGGCCCAGTCAATCCATCCAGGCACCTCTATGAACGAGCACTATTTTAACAATCAACGACACTAAGTGTTTCGTGAACGTACTCCACACAGAGACAGCCGGATAGTCTTGCTGCTGTGCTAATACAGTTTGCGTATTACCACCTTGAGGAAAGACTGCGTAACGGAAGGTATGCCGACAGCTTGTGAACTCGACGAGCTGCAGCTGATGTGCAATAGCTATATCGAAAAACCTATTCTTACCTTCTGCACAGCCTACTGACTCAAGACGAGTAGTTTGGTGAAGTTTTGACAAACTTACAACTTATGTTTAGTCGGAATGGTGATGTTGCTATACATAGGTCTCCATGCAGCGGCCCCGGGGGGCTCTGCTGGTCGCTCCTCTTGTGGGACCCACTAGAGCTTCATGCAGTTGCGGATAGCTCCATTGGCGTCGATAGCCAACACAAGCGCCGGCACCCGTGTTGAGATGGTACTGTTCCGAAGATGGAGTGATGCGGCGGATCTTGAAACAGAGGATGGTGATGGTGTTAAGATGAGCAGAATTTGAGGTATCAGCGGCATGTTTGCTGCATGCGCAGGATGGGTGCTGGGTTGCGTGGACGGCATCTTCGGTACAGACCACGATGCACCAGGCACGAAGAAGTTGGTGGCGGTTGTATGAATCTCTAGCTCCGATCGCAAGTTGCTTGTAGTTCTTGAGCCAGTGGTAGAGTCTAACGTCAGCCAAGCTGCACCACCAAACGGCGTTGACATGTTCAATTGGGTGGAGGGGTAGACCCTTAGGGCTTTCTCTCGCGTGCGCACAAGGATGGCGAGTCGAAGGATGTATTCGAGCCTGCATACTATCCCCGTCATCAGAATAAGCCCTAGGAGAGTTGTTGTTACCTCGCGAAACTATCGATTCCAAGGGATCCCGCTGCGGTTGGAGCTGTACTCGCATGTGAGCCAACGTCAGTCGAGCAGTCACCGGCGGCAATGTATGTAGACGCAGACACCAACCAGCGCATAGACTAGGCCGCCCAAATAGGGACCCTTCACATCGGGAGTAGGAGATGAAACATAGCTTGGAGCCAGTGATAAAAAGAGCAACCTCAGCGCTTGCGGAAACGTTCAACAACCCGCCTCGCATCCTGTCTCGTGGCATCCTTCCAACCTCAAGGTACGGGCATGGGATCATCGTCCACGCCGCAACACTCTGGCCGCACTCCTTGCACACACGCTGTTGCCGACCTTTGATCGAATTCGCTCCACGTCATTGGCTACATTTCGGTAATTCCTTATTATTAGTCCACGCGTCAAATGAAGGTTGGAGGTGTCGAGGCTGTTTGGAACCGCTGGACAGCGGCCTAGTCCCCTTGTCGGCAAGCCTTGCGCGCACGCGCCTAGCCGCTCTCCACCACCGTCCTGAGCCCCTCCAGCACGCTGAGGTCTTGAAACCTAAAGACCCGCTGCCTTTGTCACTCTGGCCGCCCGTCGTCCGCCTGATCTTGGAAGAGCTATCTCTTAGCCCCCCGAAACCCGCCCCCTAACGGAGCCCTCCCCACACCACTCAGTCGCGCCTGCCGCCTGTCAAGCCGCACCTGCCTGTGACTCGTGGCCCAACGTCACTCGTGCCTAAACCCGAGCGGCCTCACACTCCACCGCACCTCACCTCCTCGTATTCCTCCCCCTGAGACGTCGACCGCGCGAAAGACCGCCTCTTTGATCCGGCTTACGGCAGCGACCCACTCTGTTGGGCCCGAAGACGATTGACGTGCCACCTCAACACCACTCACTTCCCTCGTTATCTCCGGGGCCAGCATCGGTTCAGACTCTGCGGGAGGAGCCAACGTAGATGCAGTCGTTCAACAACGGGCCTTCGCCTCACCCACAGCCCAACATGTCGTCCCCCGCGCCTCTGCTGCGACCACCCATCCCCGGCGCGCGCCCAGGGAGGAGGGGACCGCCACAGCTTGGTCTATCGATACCACCATCGCCGAACGCACGACCTGTCACCAACGGTGCAGGTAACGGCATACCGACCCTGAACGCGCCTCAGCCCCGTCATGGCCCGAAGCTAAGCGTCGTTACTCCCATGGGTTCCAGCAATGCACCACAGGAAGGACGAAACGCACGAGCTCCCCCGCCGCTTATAATGCCACACCAAGGACTGTCAGCATCAGGCTCGAGCGACACGAGCGCACACTCAAGATCGGGTAGCTTTGGCGAAGTGCAAGCAAATGGTTCTGCTTCATCATACCATGCGGCACTGGGATTCATGGGGGTTCAAAAGGCCACAGATCCCATTTCGGCAATATCCCAAGGAGGAAGCGAGGGCGCGCCTTCCATGGAGCGTGCAAACAGCAGTCAGCCTCTACCAGATCTAGATACTATGGCTCTAGAGAAGGGTCGGCCATTGGAGGTGGATGATCTAGATGACGCAGCCTGGAGAGCGGCGAGCGCACGAGGAATGATTGAGGAGAAAGGAAGTCTAGGAGAGGGCGCTGGTGGTGCTGTCACAAAATGCATACTCAAGGGCGGAAAAACTACGTTTGCATTAAAGGTATGCATGGTCTCCAATGCCGTCTGAGACTCAACTGACCCGTATTTCAGATCATCACAACGAACCCCGATCCCGATGTCAAGAAGCAAATCGTACGCGAATTGTCTTTCAACAAGAACTGCGCCAGTGACCACATCTGCCGCTACTACGGTGCCTTCATGGATGACAGCACAGGGACCATCAGCATCGCTATGGAATTCTGCGAAGGCGGATCGCTCGATGCAGTATACCGCGAGGTCAAGAAGCTTGGAGGCCGAACAGGCGAAAAGGTCCTTGGCAAGGTGGCCGAGGGTGTGCTGAATGGACTGACCTACCTCCACTCTCATCGCATCATACACCGGGACATCAAGCCGAGCAACATCCTATTATGCCGAAATGGCCAGGTCAAGCTCTGCGATTTTGGTGTATCCGGAGAGTTCGGAACCAAGGGAGACGCCAACACTTTCATTGGAACGTCATACTACATGGCACCCGAGCGCATCACTGGCCAAAGCTATACGATCACCAGTGATGTATGGAGTCTAGGTGTTACTCTACTCGAAGTCGCGCAGCATCGCTTCCCGTTCCCTGCCGATGGAACCGAGATGAACCCCCGCGCTGGTCTTATTGATTTACTCACCTACATTGTTCGGCAACCCATTCCCAAGCTCAAAGATGAGCCCGAAAGTGGCATCAAGTGGTCAGAGAACTTCAAGTACTTCATCGAGTGCTGGTATGTAACCCTCTTGCATAGAAGTGAATCCCTGCTAACCTTTACAGTCTCGAGAAGGACTGTCCTCGCAGAGCCACCCCCTGGCGAATGCTTGAACACCCGTGGATGGTCGAAATGAAATCGAAAAAGGTCAACATGGCACACTTCCTCAAAAAAGTGTGGGACTGGCAGGATTAAACGCGCTACGATCCGATTGCCAACTTCGACGCGACTCGCTGCGAACTTGCCTTTGAACATGACGAGGCACGGTGTTGTGGAACCTACACTTTCTCACTAGCCTCGAGCGGCTCAGACTGTACCTTCTATTCATACACTTGGTCACATGCTGGCCATCGGACCAAGATTACCTTTACCGAGAACAGCTGTACGCGGAAACAAAACTTTGGATCTGGAGCAGGGACTGCAACTTTGTCGATAGCCTTGAGAGTTGCTTGATTGAAGGAGGATTACGCCTAGTTAGGTAAAGGTGCCTGGTGGACATCAGGGGCATTAACGGCGTTTGAAGGGCTCATGTCGTATACAGCGGCCTTTGCAGAAAGAGGATTTAGGTACGACCGAATGTCAAGATTGCATATATGAAGACTCTATGCACGATATCAAGCACTCTGTGATCGTGAAGATGGGATGGAGGATTAGGTAGTTCGTTAGCCACTATCAGGCCGGAAAGCAAATCGTTCTTCCGGTTTCAAAAGAGCGATGCTTCGTCTTGCATGAGCTGTTTCTAAACTTCTACCTATCTGCAGGGCGACGCGCATCCAAAACGGCCTAGCGCCAAGGTCCGGTCCGACGCAGCTCCCGGCGCCGATTGCTGCGCTCGAGGCTTGGAGTCATACCAAATTATTTACGCAGCCGCACCTCTCATTCAGCCGGTCCATTGAGCGACTAAAAGACGACAGTAGCTTCCTGTATTACGGTTACCTTCGTATACGAGTACTGCGACATTCTCCACACCCCGCCAGTCGCTCCTTCCTCCCAACTTACCCCTCCAAAGACCCCACCATCGCACACGAGAACCACGCGAAGCCCCCCAAGAGAGCAGACAAACCGCCAAAATGCCTACCATCGGTGTGGATAAGGCGGCCCTCTTCAAAGAGCTGGGCCGGGAATATACCTACCAGGAGTTTGACGACCTATGCTTCGAATTTGGTATCGAGTTGGACGAGGACACAAGCCTGAGCACCAAGCCAGAAGATCAGGCGCAACCACCACAACTCAAGATTGAGATTCCCGCAAATCGCTATGACATGCTATGTTTCGAGGGTATCGCCATGAACCTCAAGGTCTTCCTTGAGAAACAAAAGCTGCCCAAGTGGACTGTTACTGCGCCCAAGGGAGGAGAGCTGCAGGTGCTCGACATCAAGCCTGAGGTATACCGAATGTCTGGAAATCGGTAGTGGAGTTGTGCTGACTAGTCGCTTCACAGACCAAGCAAATACGAGAGCTCTGCTCGGGTGTCATACTACGAGGCATCAAATTCACCCAAGAACGATACGACTCCTTCATCGCGTTACAAGACAAATTACACTCCAACCTGGCGCGTCAACGGACACTTGTATCCATTGGAACACACGACTTGGATACGATTCAGGGCCCCTTCTCATACGAAGCACTACCGCCAGAGCAGATCAAGTTCGTGCCCCTGAAGCAGGACAAGGAAATGAACGCGAAGGAGCTCATGGAGTTCTACGAGGTCAGTAAACATGAGATGTCCATGTGTAGCACCATTCTGACCCTGAGTAGAAAGACAAGCATCTCGGACGCTTCCTACACATCATTCGCGACTCGCCTGTCTACCCCGTAATCTACGATGCGAACCGTACCGTCCTCTCCCTTCCGCCCATCATCAACAGCAATCACAGCAAGGTTACACTGGACACAAAGAACGTCTTCATCGAGATCACTGCGACCGACAAGACAAAGGTCGAGATTGTCAACCACATGATGGTCACCATGTTCGCTGGGTACGCAGAGTCGATCGAGCCTATCAAGATCAACTCGCCCCACAATGGAGAGTCAAGAGAGTCGCCAGATCTGTCACCGCGACAAATGCAGGTTGAGGTGGACTACCTGAACCAGGTCACTGGCCTCACCTTGTCACCCGAGGAGATCTCGAAACTCTTGTCGCGTATGGGCCATGACGTCTCACCGTCTCAATCCGACAAGAACATCCTCGACGTTTCGGTACCTATCACAAGAGCGGACATCCTGCATCAAGCGGATATCATGGAAGATTACGCCATCGCATACGGCTTCAACAAGCTGCCGCGAGTATACCCGAACAAGACTGCTGCTGTCTCCGCGCCATTACCCATCAACAAGCTCGGTGATATCGTCCGGATAGAGTCCGCGTCATCGGGATGGACCGAAGTCATGCCTCTCATCCTCTGCTCGCATGAGGAGAACTTCGAGTGGCTGAACCGGAAAGATGACGGAAAGACAGCGGTGAAGCTTGCGAACCCCAAGACGGCGGAATACCAACTCGTCCGAACATCGCTACTACCGGGTCTGCTCAAGACAATCAACTCCAACAAGCACCATTCAGTACCGATGAAGATCTTCGAGGTTAGCGACATTGGTCTCGTCGATTTGGAGCAGGAGAGGAAGAGCAGGAACGAGCGCCACTTCGCAGCCGCATTCATGGGTAAGACAAGTGGCTTCGAACAAGTACATGGTCTGCTGGACAGGCTGATGCTCATGCTTCGGTCGGCATTCCTCACGCGCGAAGACGGACTAAAGAACGAGCAATTGCAGGGCTACTGGATAGAAGAGGTTGATGGTAAGTGGATAGGTTGCGCATCAGAAATGGCGCAGATATACTGACTGGTCACAGACCCGACCTTCCTTCCTGGGCACTCAGCGGCTATCAAGCTCAACCTCGGCGGTAAGAACCACACCATCGGTGTCTTCGGTATCCTGCACCCGAGTGTGCTGCAAAAGTTCGAGTTGCCGTAAGTCGCTTTCAGCTTGTCTCGCAATGTAACTGAGATGCTAATGATCGTACAGATACCCAGTGAGTACGCTTGAGTTCAACCTGGAGATCTTCTTGTGAGATGCCACGCCAAGGTCGCCTTGCCACATAGTCGTCGCCAAAACTGCTTTGGCGCAATAGATACCTACAGCGCATCCACAAATTAAGATGTCATGACCGAATTTCGTCCAGATCACAGCAGTACCATCTTTTGATCCCCAGCCCTGACCTTCAGCGACATGTAAACGTCTCCCCATACTTTCTAGCAGCACTGATAACGGGGTTGCTTCGCGTTAACCAACAAGTCAAGCTGGCGCTTCCAAACGAATGTCTAACCCTTGATAGTAACAGTACGCTTGTGAGTGACTGTGGTTTCTTGGGGGCCAAAACCAGCTGATTTGAGATTATCAGGACTAGCTTCTAAGAAAGGCTCGAGGCTTGTCTGGAAGCGCATGCTCCAGCAGCTTGTTCTCAGCGCGTTTGGTCCATTCAAAATACTCGGCGCATATCGTTACCCGTAATGTCTCGGGTTTGCATGTACGTGCGACGCGAGAAGGTACCGTGCCACACGCGTGCAGCGGTCAATACCGTACTGGTTCACCCCCACCATCGAACGCGAGCAATCTCATGACTTCTCTCCACTTTCGCTATAATCGCACATATCACTACTGTTTGACCCAGGAGGTAAACATCCATGTTTGACTCGTTGAACTATATTCACACGACACCGAATTCGCCATTCCTGTTTGACCTCTCAGCATGATCAGTGGCAGGTACCACGAAGTGCTTGAACGGCTCGGAAAGGCGGAACCGTCAACAGTGGACGAGTGCAAAGCTGTATTGGAGCGCATTCGTGTCAACAAAGGCCACATCGACGAGGATTACCGACTGGATTTGGAGAAGCTTTCCCACGGACATCGCGACCGGACATTGTATGTTTTTGCAAAACAGCGCAAGCTTGAGGCAGCTTTCACCAAAAGGTTCGTGTTGCAGGTCAAATCATACTCACATTTTATTAACTGATGCAGCATCTCCCAGCAGCTTTACTCGTCCAAGTATCGTTTCTTGTACGAACTTGTTCAGAATGCTGACGATTCGCTGTACAACGAGGCGCACAGCGCATCTGTACTACCCTTTCTCCGATTCAAGATCGCGCCAGATGCTTTCATTGTGGAAACAAATGAAGATGGCTTCAGACTAGCCAACGTTGAGGCAGTGTGTGCGACTGGGGAAAGCTCGAAGAAATCGTCAGCTACCGACAATCACATCGGAGAGAAAGGCTTCGGATTCAAGTCTGTGTTCTCCATTGCAGAGGACGTGCACGTTCAATCTGGACTCTGGTCATTTCGGTTTCACCATCGGCGCGGAGACGACGGTCTTGGTATGGTGACGCCTCTGGACGCCGAGCCAGTCCCTCTCCCTGAGGATGTGACTACAAGAATAACTTTGCGCCTCGCGAGGGATGCAACTGCAGAGTACCGGGGTCTACTCAATGCTGTCGCAAGCATGCCTGATACAACACTCTTCTTCTTGCAGAGACTACGCAGGTTCCGTATTCATGTCACAGACCCAGACCTGGACGACAAAGAAGTAACAACTACTTTCGAGAGAATCGCACTTGAATCTCCCCCAGGTCGCGTCCTTATTAGGCGCCAGGAAGAGTTCAACGATGAAATCACGGTCGACGAAAGCTTGTATCGTTGTTTCACTCACGTCGTCGAGAACATGCCAGCACACGAATACCGGGAGGGTCGCGGATCAGCGCGCGTCGAGTTGGCCTTTCCAGTCGACTCCACAACACAGCAGCCAAAGCTTAGCGAATCTGGACATCATGTTTTCGCTTATTTACCATTGCAGCGTTTGCAACAAGTTCAGGTAAGATCATCTCATGTGAAGAAGAAGTATACTAATCCATTCCGTAAGTTCCTCATCCAATCAGACTTTGTCACCTCTGCAAGCCGCGAAAGTGTCGTTGATTGTACGTGGAATGAGTTTATATTCCATGGTGTGGCGAAGACGTTCGCAATGGCTGTTGAAGAGTTCACGAAAGACGGTGATCCCCTGGGGTATTCTTGGCTCGATTACCTACCTACCGGACTAAGCGACGATCGATGGAAACCAATGCATCGACTGATTACAAAAGAGCTTGCAGAGAAACCTATCCTGCAGACTTGGCGACAGCGACGTCTTAGAAGACCAGGAGAACTACGTATACTACAGAACAGCATGCTCTATGGCGGCAAACCGATCTTGGAGGCTATATCGGATGATGTCGACCTTGCCCCTGATTACATCCCTAAATACGTCTCTGAAGTGATTTCCCTTGGGGTACGTCGGGCAGGTCTACCTCGCATGATGAAACGGCTAGAGACTGATGTCCTGACCGTCACCTCGAGATTGAAAGCCACGGAACCGCACGATGCATGGCACGTTGCATTTGCATCCTTGTTTTTACAGGCATGGTCGATCAAAGCCCCCGATGTTGGTGTCCAAGATAGACTGAGGAAACTGGCTATTATACCTCTGCAGAATCGTCGGCAGTGGACAGGCGCACCAGGGCAAAGCAGCGGTGGGAGTTTGGATCATATCTACTTCTCTGATGTCGACGGCATCAATATTCCCAGCTCTATAGGATTGAATCTCCTCGATACACACGCGTCTTCGAATCCGACGCGCAAGGCCTTCTACACAGCACTCGGTGTCGAGGAGTGTTCGCATGAGTTTGTCGTGGATAGGATCAAGCAGATACATGGCCGCGCCAACAAAGCTCCTGCTGATATACTGTCCCATCTTCGATACCTTTTCTGCGCGAACGAGGAAGCTTCGCTGCTCAAACAATGGATCTGGGTGCCGACAACAAGCGGGCATGTGAGAGACTCTGCAACGTTATACTTCCCGTCAGAAGAAGCCCATCATCTCCATCAAGCTCTTGCTGGAATTCATCCCTCGAGATATCAGGGAATCTTGGAATTTGTTGACAAGTCTCTAGTCGACTGGGAAGAAAACTCTGCGAAGGACCAGCGTGATGCGTGGGAAAAGTGGTTGGAGCAGGCGACAGGTGCCCGATACTATCCGCCTCTTGTATACGAAAATGCAAAGACGTCTTTGCCAGAGCTTTCCCCAGCTTTAAGGGCACTCTCCGAGTGGAAATGTCGTGCATTTCTAGACATGCTCAGACAGCATTGGCACGATTACCAAAAGGACGTCTCACGCATCGAAGCCCAGCTCAGGAACCTAGAAGTACCATGCGCCGTTATAGCTGGTGAGCCTCGGCAAGACGAGGCTCTTCAAGACACATACCTACCTACGGTCGACGTCATTGATCAAGTGCTGACTCTTGGTCTAACCCTGGGCACGTTTTCAATACTCGCTATACCTGATTTTCGCCGGACGTCGGACAAGCTTGACAAAGATGGCCGTGTGAAGTGGCGATTTTTGGAAGAATTCGGCGTACGTAGCGAGGTAGATCTCGAGTTCTACGAGCGCGCTCTTCAGGGTATGAGGTCAGTGGCTCAAGATCCTGATTTGGGAATTCTGGAGAAGATATATGCGGGCCTAGCGAAGTTCGCTACGGCAGACGATCACGACGATCTTTGGTACGTTCTATTCATCCCACCCTCTTCAACCCAGTCACAAGGCTCATTGAAATAGCGAACTCTTCTCCCAGGAGCTGCTCTGGATACCCAGCAGTAGAAGCTGGGTAGACAAATCCTCATGCGTCTGGCAGGGCCCAGCCTTCTTGCGATACAAGAGCGTGTTACACTCACACTATGGACATATTCCTGCATTGTCTAGATTCTTTCAAGGAACTCTAGATGTACCAGATGCTGTCCCCGAGGATGTTTTGGAAGAGCTGATCAAACGAAGGCAAGCTACCGATCTCACAACCACCCTTTCCGTTGCAGGAGACATCTATTCATACATCCGTGATAATACAGTCCGTGACGAGGAGTGGCAGATACTGAGGTGAGTTATCCTTGTTTAATCCCCCCCGCGTGATTTTCAATTCTGTGCAGCTTTGGATCGAACATACGATGTCTACATCGTTACCCGAGACTGAGCTCAGTATTGGAAAGCTTCAATACATGTTAGCAGCACCACCGAAAACACTCCTTAGCCGCGTTATTTGGTTCATCCTTGTATGTGCTAACAACCTTTAGGACGCAGTTCCAGCAAAACGATTTGATCTTGGGCACGAATAACACCTGGCACACCCTGGAGACGTGTGTGTGGCACAGCCGTTTCTTGCTTTCCGGATACGAAGACCTTAGCTCCATCTACCCACAATTGGAAACCTTCTTCGTGAAGCATCTCAAAGTCAAGAAAGTCACACCGACTATGGTTATCAAGGAGATATCGAAAATGGTCAGGAACAAATCGCCAGACTACGATAATATCCGAAAGCGGCTCGTCGACGTCAGCAGGATGCTGACTACTACCAAGCTGGATAAGGCAACTAAAGATGCGCTATCCGATCTTGCGGCAAGCAAGTTCCTGCCCAAAAGACTTGCCAATGGCGGTACAGTCCTCCTTAGCCGTCACGATGCCTACGCTATCCGGGACCATACTCGATATGGCAGCGCCTTTGAGGGGCATGACATCTTACTCGACTTCTCCGTTGAGGAGGTTCAAATTATGAACGTCATGTTCACGCATACCGGTATCAAGAGGTATTATCTCTCGTCTTTGGTGGTCGAGAAGTCCACGGTCGAGGAAGATAATGAGGAAGACGATGCCCTTACGCAACAACTGCAAGTGAAAGCGTACGCTCTGTATTGGTGAGTCTTTCCTCATATGAAAGCCACTCTGTGCGATCAGTCAAGCTGACTCTACACAGCTGTGCTGCGAAGTACAAGAGTGTGAAAGCTCTCCATGGAGATCACTCACTTTTCGACACTTTGTCAGCGGTTCGGATCTCCAGAGGCGATCTCGCGACCCACCTGGTCATCGACAACAAAGACCCAGACCTTCATCTTAGTGTTCGAAGCGAGCGATCATTCATACACCATGAGAGAACGGCAGACGGTCTAAGAATCTACGTACCCAAAGGCCCGAAGCAACGTCAATCTTCCTATCGATCACAGCTTCCGAAACTGCTTGCAGACATCATGGAAGTCGACGACAGCGCACGTCATGACATCTCTGTCATCATTGGTAGCGACCTCCGAGCCTTAGACGACATCCTGGTCGAGCTCGATATATCGTGCGTGTCGTGGATCACAAAGCCAGTCTTGAATCTACCGGACGATGAAGATGAGGATGGGGATGAGGATGAAGATGATTCATCGTCGCCGTTTGAGCCGCGACACGTGCACAATGCTGAAAATACAAGCACGCAAAGACGCTCTTCTCTAGTCTCAGCAAATGGGTCTGTGAACTCATCCGAGTTCACCTTCGTCGAAGATGTGACAGCTAGCTCCAGACATGCGGCCTACAGTCCCAAAGCAAGTCGCAGCTTAGATCAGGAGCGTATTAACCGCCTTCATGGGGCTCTTGGTGAAGCATTTGTAAGTCGTCGCGTCGAGTGACTCCGTATCCGCTTACTGACAGTTGCAGGTTTTTGAAACACTCGCCGCTCTCAATTTGACCGACTTCACGCTTGACAATTGGCGCAGTACGATTCGCGGAGAGCTCTCACGCTATCCGAGATACGCCGGCATTGCCAACTGGCAAGGTCGCGAAACAGCGGATATTGTCTACACGGATCGCGATGGTACGCTGACGCAATGGTTGAAGGGGAGATGCACAGGTGGCTATCCTGCTAGTAGTACTGAGCGTGACTTCGCGAAGCACCCGATCGAATACTACTTCGAAGTCAAGAGCACAACAAGTGCTTGTGAGACGAGGTTCTTTCTGAGTGCGGGACAGTACAAACTTGTAAGTTGTCTAGACTTCCTTAACAAATATGTGGGATGAGTTTCGTGGGCGCATGACTGACACAACAAGCAGATGCATGAGATGGCTGTTCAAAGAGACCAGGAGGCAACCAGAATGTATGTCATTATGCGAGTGTCTTATCTTTCGTCGGACGACAAAGGATTGAAGATCTACGTTGATCCTGTACGACTGAAAGGGACACATGTTGATTTCGAAGCGGAAGGGTGGGTTGGACAGACTTTATGATGTGCTGTATGCTAGCAGAGACACTCGCTCGGTATGACAGATGGGTTCTCGCATGCGATGCCGTTACAGCCGTGTAGCAAGATCTCAAGCACCGTAGCTCTGGAAAACCATGCGTAGCGCATCTCTCTTCCCAAGCGCAATTTCTACGGCGAAGCTTTAGTTTGTGGGGAAGCCCGTAGATCATTAGTTCACGCGTGCTGACGTCACCCACTTGGCGTGTAAATCTCGACCAGAGCGGATGTGACGGAGGCCTCACCTCCACTGATTCTGGACCACAGCGCGAGAACATTTGAAAAGGGCCGTAATATCTGCGCGACTTCTACCATTCTGTGTGCATCTCGGCATCAAGCTTTACATCGCCTTCTTGACGTGCCGATTACCCGCAACTGCTCATACCGTTCCTGACGCGGCCTCAAGCCTGGATGTCATTGTGCATGCGGCGAACCAAGTTTTCAGCAAATATACATCCGTCTATGCGGTAGTCAGGGTCTTTACACTGGCTCAGTAAGTGCTTTCGCGCCGTTCATAGCCCAAGAATCCAAGCAAGCGCCTCCGACCCGGGACTTACCAGACGCTAAGAGCCCCAGACTCCGATGGCTGGGCATGTAGACCTTCCAGAAGGCTGCTAAACTTACGAGGAGCTTATTTGCACGCCAGCACGCAGCCAGCCATGGCCTCAGGAGCACTTCCGACGTGTCTTTGGTATTGACACGGCTGACCTTCCATGCTACTCACAGCTGTGCCGACATAGCCTTCTCGTCATCCACCAGCATCTATCGTTTCGTGGACGTTGATGGTGAAGATGCATCTCGCCACGAGATCTTGGTCCGATGAATATGCTAGCATATGACGACCGAAATCGAGGATGGCATGTGCATGTTCGGTATACCAATAGTGACGCTACTCTAGATGCACCTCTCGCAGTATATATATCGAGTTCCTCTCCCTGTATCAATACTGTCATCTCAAAGCCATTCAAGACATTACATCTTCTACAATTGACTTGAAATAACACTTCCATCGCTTCCCGACACATATACCTCCTAATCCAAAATGGCTCCCCGTGCTGTGCACTTCATCCGCCACGCCGAAGGCTACCACAACGCAGAACACAACGAGAAGATCCCCGACCCCGACCTCACACCGAAAGGCAAACAACAATGCAAAAACCTTTCGGAAACATTTCCATTCTTTGACCGCATCGACCTAGTCTGCGCAAGCCCCATCCGCCGCACCATCCAAACGGCTCTCATCAGCATGGAGCCGTGGTTACAATCCGGAAAGCGCAACATCCTCGCTCTTCCCTTAGCCCAAGAAGCTACATCTGAGCCAGCCAACACACCAAGCGATGTAAAGCGACTTCAGAAGGAATTCGGCGATGTATGCGACTTCCACAGGTGCCTGGACACCTACACCGACTTCAACACCAAAGAGGGCAAATGGGCACCAGATGGCGGTTCACTAAAGGCGCGCGCCTTGGAACTTCGCCGCTTCTTGCGTGACCGTGACGAGGAGGAGATTGTCGTGGTGTCGCACGGCGACTTCCTGCACTACGTATCTGGGGATCTAGATGAAAACGATTGTCAGGCACATGGAGATTGGCAGAACACGGAAATGAGAAGCTATCGCTTCTTTCCGGTTGATCATGAGGATGCGCTATTGCAGGAGACAGATGAGAGTGTCAAACTGAGGGATGCGAGTGCGCCGGGACAGGCCATGGGATCGGCTAAGGAGGGCACGCCGTGAGATGCGATTTGGTGAGCGACAATGATGCGATCGTGCAGTTTAGCGAGCTTTATCTGGAATGAAATCCATTTTGAAAAGATGCGTCTCATTAACAAAATCACGTTGAGATGGCATGAGTGAACGATGGATGTCGAAGTGCTGATGCTGAGAAGGACGGATGTTTGTTCCATGCGCAGCTGCCCCACAGCGCGGAGACGGCGAAACTTGCTACTTCCAGCAGCGCTAGCCCCGGGGGTGCCTTCCACGAACGCGTGCCATCGCGGCCTTGCAACACCACCTTTCTACTGTCCTGATAATATAAGATGGAGTCCTTCGCTATGAAGACCGTATCGCACCTTCTACATGTTCCCCAACATAGCCGACATCCTTGACTCCGCACCCATTACACCCTGCACCTCCGCACCAGGTACCCCTGCATCGGAGACAATGGCTAGCGACACGATCACACACATCGTGCTCTTCAGATACCGCCAAGATATACCATGGACGGACCTAGAGAGCCACTTCAAGTCCTTCATGGCCCTACAACACAAGTCGCTGAATTCTAACACCGGCAAGCCGCTCATACAGTCGCTGAAAGCCGGCAAAAACAGATCGTGGGAACCTTTCTCCAAAGGTATGACACATGGTTTCGTGCTAGAGTTTGCGAACCAGGAAGATTTGGACTATTATCTCACCACTGAACCGGTTCACAAGGCCTTCTCCAACGCCGCGAAGCCGCTGATCGAGGACAGCTTAGTCGTAGATATCAAAGACGGGGTGCTGTTCGGTTCTGCGGCTGAACATCCATTTGTGAAAGGAGATGGGATCAGGAAGGGTACATGCCATTGCGAGAGTGTAAAATGGACCGCAAAGCTCGAAAATGCCGAGCACGTACTTTGCCACTGCTCGACGTGCCAAAAGCTTGGTGGCGGACCGTACTCCTGCAATCAGATCATACCGAAAGAGGAACTGCAGATCGTCTCCGGCGAGGAAAACATCAGGCAGTATCGGTATAAAGGTGCTAGTGGTATGTTCACTTTGTGTCGGTGAAGGAGGAAAGGCTGACTGGGTGCAGGCAAGTTCGTGCGATGCTACTTTTGCAAAGTTTGCACGAGCCATATTTATCATCATCAAGACGTTATGCCGGACAAGATCATCGTGCGCACTTTGTTACTGGAAGGCGGTGAGGACATGCCGGCCACGGCTGAGATATTTGGTGAGGGAAGGCTGGCATGGGTACAAGAGCTCTCGAAACAAATTTAAGCGCGAGTTCTGGAGACGCAAGGAATGTGATGATTCAGAAAGGGATACAAGCGCAGTGGCCAAGGATGCTGCCTAATGTGGCACAGCTACTTCATCATTCAAAACGAACAACACCTCACTACTCGATATCTAATTGGAATCCCGAGTGCGAAACGCATCTTTGACGGTGTATCGTTGATCTCGCCACTGGATGGAGCCGCAGCGACATGTCTCATCTACTCAATCTACCAACAGAGCTTCTCATCGAGATTCTGTCTTCTTGCTCTTGCGCCGACATTAAGAGACTATGCGAGACATGCCGCTCGCTGTACGACGTCGGTGTATGTGAGCATTCCTCAACTTTCGCATAGCTACTGACGACGAGTAGATGCCAGAGTTGTACCGCAACATTGACTTGAGCTCACATAATGCTCCCATCGACTGCGCGCCTGTTTACGACGGGCTTCATCGGGTGCCACCCGACTTTACAAACAGAAGGTGGGGACGCCTCGACTTGGACGTATTTGAGAAGCAGCTGCAATTTACCCGAACTTTGCAGCACGATCCGGAGCTCGGTAAGCACGCGCATGTGCTATGCTGGACAATCTTCAATTTATTTGAATGCGATGAGACGGCTTGGGAAGACGGAGAAGTAGAAAGTTTGGAGCACGAAATGAAGCGCTTGACGGATGAATACCCAGGGTCGGAAGATCTGTATATTGACGGACATGGAAGCTACGGTACGCAGATACGTTATTTGAGGTGTTGATGCTGACTATGTTAGGCACTCTTTGGCGCACGTTCCGTAGCCTTGATAACGTCTCCGAGATTGACCTTTGCTTCACGCAGTAAGTGTTTGGCTGTTTAGCGATGATTGTTTACCGACTTCTAAAGGTCATGCGATCCTCTACTACTGCCTTTGATATGCTTTCCTAAAGCTACTTCGGTGCGCTTGAGTGGCTGGGTACGACGCGACGTTGTCAATTGCTTCTTCCAGGAGTATGCCCACCAACTCAAAGCACTTGAGTTACACAACCTGTTCCAGTCTGACGAGTTTGACCCGCCTTATCCAATGTTTGTTGCCGTCCAAGACATGGTAGACTATTTGCGGGAACACGAGGATGATGAACGCACTGCCCTAGACGACCGGTACATGATGGGATTGCTAGATTCTTACGTTGGGAATTTTACTGCTCTCACTTCTTTGTGTATCGCTACCGTCGGCAATTCCTTTACGAATGTTTGGTACGATACAGAAGAGGGCAACCAACGATACTCTGAATGGGCGCGCTTCATGCAATCCGTTCGGCATACCCTACGTTCTCTCTCCTTCAAGCAGGGTTACAATCGAAATGAATACGACTCTCCAAGAGGCATTCGGCCACCGTGCCCGCATTATTCGTATCGGCCAATGGATCTCATGTTCCGACAATGGATCTTGCCCGTTCTATTGGAAGCTCCATGGCCTCATGTGAAGCAGATGGAGATCAGAGGCGTTGGAAGGCATGTGGAAAGTATGGTTTCAGATCATACACCGACAGAGCAGGAGTCAGCCGAACCAGGTCTTCAGCTTGGTTTGATATCGCATCAGTCACGGGATGGTCGTGCGGAAATCAGGAAAAGCCTCGCACGCATGGCTTTTCCGTATGAGAAGAGAGAGGAGCTATTAAAGCTACTGCCTGAAGGTGCCAGACTCATCGTCGAAGAAGAGCAGGAAAGAGATTACGAAGAGCTGCACTGAAACATTGAGGGCATCAAGTACATCCTCGCAGTGGGGTGGTCGGCCACAGTTTATAGAATATAGATGTCTTACAAGTTCAATTACAAGAAATGGCGAACAGTTAGCCAAAAAATCATATCGCAAATGGTGTCACGAAAGACCAGGTGCTCGACAATATCCTCACCCACAGCGCGCGGCTAAACTCCCACATGATGTGGGGCTTCAACCCCATTGGGCCATGCCGAACCAAATCCTTCCTTCTCAGCCAGAGACCGCAAGGATGCGCAAACACGTTGAATACCCGCGACCTGGGAAATGTTAATTGATGCTTCTCATTCGTGGAGTCAACAGCCACCGAAGGAGCGGGCCGTGGGCATTCGAGCCGCGGCTCCACTTCATATGTAGGTACGAGTAATGTGAATACAGCGAGCGGCATGCATGTTGTATAGAGCATGCCGCATCCCGACATTTGACTCCTAGACACTATCTGATGCGTGGATCTAGAATGAATCCTTCGGTTCGGTGTGGCGTGGGTTTTTGTTCATTTATCAAGATGGGTCGACGAGGCTTGGTCGTGCAGCGCCTACACGTTCACTCCTCTTGACCAGACGTCCTTTCGCTATGTCTGCGCGCAGATCTTTGTTGTTCTTAGCTGCGAACGCTATCGGCGTTCTTGGAAGTCCGGTTGCTTTCCGCGATGTCGCACCTGCCGCCGCCACAGTCTCCACGAACTCGCCTGCCGGAGTTGCGCTTTTCCCGAACGAGGCAGTCCAACTGACCAACGACGCCCTGAATGCGGCTGCTCGCCAAACCAGTGAGGTTGACGTGGTTTCACTTTTTGGCTTCGACAATAAGGAGGAGACGACGGATGGAATCAGCAGCGGTCAATGCAAAGTCTTCCCAGGCGATTCCGACTATCCGGAAGAAAGCGTATGGTCTACCTTCGACAACCTGCTGGGAGGAGCGCTCATCAAGACGACTCCCATCGCTGCACCATGCTACAAGGACTCGGCCTGGAATGACTATGATGAGGCGAAATGTGCAGACATTTCTGCTAGATTCACGACGTCCGATCTCCACACGAGTGACCCTACCTCGATGATGTGGCCGCTCTTCCAGGGCCGTACATGCATGCCTACCGACGACCCCAGTGACACCTGTACGCTAGGTGGCTATGCATCTTACTCGATAAATGTCGAGAATGTTGCCCAGGTGCAGCTGGGTGTCAACTTTGCCCGCAACATGAACCTCAGGTTGACTGTCAAAAACACTGGGCATGACTACATTGGAAAGTCGTCTGGCGCGGGTGCTCTCAATATTTGGACACACAATCTCAAGGACATCCGGTTCATTGCGAGGTACGATTCGATGGAGTACAGCGGCCCAGCGTTCAAGGCTGGTGCTGGTGTCCAAGGGTTCGAGATTCTGGAAGCTGCCCGCGATCACGATGTCACGGTCATGGCTGGTATCTGTGAAGTAAGTCATCGTGGTAAACTGTATGTCAGAGAAGCAACTACTAACCCTAGACGTAGACTGTTGGATGGAGTGGTGGTTATGTCACCGGAGGTGGCCACTCACCTCTCGCGTCCATCTACGGCATGGCCGCTGACCAAGTTCTCGCCTTTGAGGTCGTCACCGCCGACGGGCGTTTCGTTACTGCCTCTGACTCTAAGAACTCCGATCTCTTCTGGGCCCTTCGCGGAGGAGGCGGTGGAACTTTTGGTGTTGTGACTTCAGTTATCGCCAAAGCCCATCCGAGAATACACGTTACCAAGTCTGTCTTCTCCTTCCAGGCCCCAGTCAACGACTCTGCCAACTTCTGGAAGGGCATCAACGCTTACATGAAGCGATTCCCTGAATTCACCAACGCTGGCACTTATTCTTACTTCTGGATCTGGAACTACGGTACGACGCTCGACTTCCAGATGACACCCTTCTTTGCGCCAAACCACACCATTGAGTCCTTCAACGCGCTTACGAAGGACTTCTTCGCCGACCTCAAGTCTTTCAACATCTCAGTAACTCCCAACACGACTTACCACGACGACTTTTACTCTGCCAACAAAGGCTCATGGGGCGCGGATACGCTCGGTGTGACCACCATTCGTCAAGCTACCCGTCTCTTCCCGAAGAGCCTTTGGGCAACCGAAGAGAAGTTCAACTCTTTCTACACCACTATCAAAGACACAGTGATGAACGGCCATACGGTCGGTGGTTACCACATGGCTCCGGGTAACCCTTTCAAGCTTGACAATGCTGTCAATGAAGCCTGGCGCAACACCCAGTCTTTCTTGATAACCGCAAACATGGTTCCAGAGCACGCGACACCGGCTCAATTGAAGGAAGCATCCGACTACCTTACATACGACATCATGGACTCGTGGCGTGCACTCGCTCCGGCGTCCGAGGGTGGCGGCGTCTATCTCAACGAGGCGGACATACAAGAGCCAAACTGGCAAACCGACTTCTACGGCGCAAAGCACTACCCGAAGCTGCTCGCTATCAAGAAGAAGTGGGATCCTAAGGGCGTCTTTTACGCCACCACTGCTGTTGGCAGCGAGGACTGGGAAATCAGGGATGGCGAGCAGGGTACTCAAACTCAGAACGGACGATTATGCCGTGTCTAATTTCGCGGCTTGTCGTGTTTCGGCCTGATTATGGATAGTGCTGCGCTTTCATGTTGTATACACATACACCCCCCGGTTCAAGTGCCTAGCGTCCGTTTCAGTCAGCGAATGAGCAGCCCTGGAGAGTGAAGAAACTTGTTGAAAAGCAATGGCCAGCGAAGATTCTGGAGTCATCATGCGCTGTGACCGAGCTGCGCTGGTTTCTTTTGGGGTTATGCTTACTATCCGACGAGTCACGACGTCTCTGCTTGTGGTGTTCTGTCTTGATGCTCAGAAGTTGTGAGACACCTTCTCAACGTTGCGCGTCGCCAAACATGAATAGTCAAGACATTTCAATAACACGATACTGCGCATTGAAAGAAAGAAGTTCTTCGTTTGGATCGGAAAGGCGTCTTGCATGCCCGACCACAATGTTGATACTCGTCCCCCTGAGAACGCGTTCGTGCTTTCCCCGCCCACTAGCGCAAATCACAGACGCGTCGCAACAGACGTCATAAGGATGGGGTGATCGCAATGCCGCCCTTTCTCATTTATCTCTACTATTTTCCTCTGAAACAGTGTTTTTGCCATCTCATTGCGCTCCGAAGGTTGTCGCCATTTTTATGGTTGTCGGAATACAATCACATCAGGATTGCGCAGTTCCAACATGGCGTATATGAACCCATACCCAATGCCGACTTTGGAGAACCCAACTGCGTCTTACCCGCCCATGTCGAACCAGCCTATGCCGCATCCGCCCATGTCGAACCAACCTATGTCGCGCCAACCTATGTCGCACCAGCATATGTCGAACCCGCCTCCTATGCCGCACACGATCATTTCGAATGCGCCTATGCCAAACCCGACTGTGTTAAACCCGACTACCTCGAACCCAACTATGCCTAACCCGAGCATGCAAATCACCGATGATGACGAAATAAGTTTTGAGCTTGAGAACAGGCCTGTGACGGAGAGTTGCGATGTCTTACGGTATGCGATTTTTCTTTTAGTGACAACGTGCGCGTTGCGTGTTTCTACGCCGCCACCTTGTACAAAGGAATAAAACGAATGGGTCTAGAGCCTACGTCGATGTTAGGCCACCTACTTTATAGGTTTCTATGTCAATGTAGGCTGCAGACCTGTTCAGTTTTTTCCTAGGTTGACGTACCGCCATGAACATCTCCGATTCTCCATGATCTGCGTACAGTATCTGATTTATATGCAGGCGTAAGATACGCACCTTGATCGACAATGGCGAAATGAAAGTGGGCGAGTTCCAAAAGGCAGTTGGCATTACCCCCAATGCGTACTCGCGATTTATGAGCCAGCACGGGAAGGACAAGGGAGTTGAGTCTTCTGTATATCCGGCAGCGTACGCGTTCTTCCAGCAGCGCGAGATGGCGGGCATTAAGACGACCGCGAACAAGAAGGCGAAGAAGAATGAAGGAGACGCGGCGAAGGATAGTGTGCCTAGTGTCGATGATGTTGAGCTGGATTTCGAGAAAGAAGATAAAGTACCAGTATACGGTATGCTTTCGCACCACCATGACGGAAGCGATGTGAGGACTGACACGCTGATAGATACATGCGACGACGTCCGCAAGAAGATCAACGTACACCTCAAGAAACCCGGCGTGACCCAGGCTGCGTTCCTTCGCGCAGCCTCAGCGTCCTTCCACAACCCATCCAAGACCCTCAACGCGCGCCAACTCTCTGCTTTTCGCAGCAAGAAAGGTGCTTTAAACGGCAACACATCCGGCATCTACTATGGTGCGTACGTCTACTTTGAGAAGCTACGCATCAAAGAGGGAAAGCCCAAGAGCAAGAAGAGGCAGGAGATGGAGGAGATACATGCCAAGGATGGCGGAATCGACACAAAACATATGCAGGACCGACTTACTACCCTGGAGGGTGACCACTGGCACCATGATGCCTATGGGAGGACGATTCTCAACGGGGAGATTCTTGAGTAAAGGTTGGGCGAGTGCCCTTTGCCTTGTAATATATGTGTTCGATATGTCGTGGTAATAGAGTGGTATGTACAAGTGACGTCCAATGTGTGTGGATATCTGATGGACCCAACGCCATAAACGCCGATGCTTGATTGTGTGAAGCCGCCGAAGTAGTGTAAGCCGCTCATAGTGTGGCTGCTGCCTCAACAGCTCCAGCCAGCTTGAACGTCTTCGGACTCGAGAAAACGATCTCGACGGGGTATTTCCATTCCATAAACTTGGCCCATCCTGCAAAGATGTTAGCTACCTGCCATCTATCCGGTCATCTAACCTTGAAGATGACGTACCCCAGTATGCGGCCTTTCTGCCAAAGTATTTCCCCAGATATGGCACCATGACCATTGTCAACAGCAGCTCCAATTGTTGCAGCGACTCTTTCCACTCCCGGTCCGCATCTGACATATATTCTTCTTCATCGGCTGAGGAGCTTGTTGCCGAGGATGGTAACGAATCGATCTCGTCGTTGGAGGATGGCTCGATGAAGCTCTCGCTGTTGCTCAGGGACATAGCGGCGGTGACGTTGAATCGTTGACAGGAGAGGGTGGTGGATGTATGACTGGATCGGCGGACTACCGTAGCAGCATTGGCGATAGTAACGGGATCGCGACGGCTATGGTAGAGGCGCGTTCGGTGAATGGTGTCGGAGCGCTCCAGCCAATGAGCGGAGGTGGGGCTTAGCGGCAGCTGTCACGTGACGCAAATCTTGGCACTCAGCGTTCGACTCACACATGTGTTGCGGCGAACTTTAGGGTGACCGCCTGCCTAACTCTTCGACTCACCACGCCTACATATCACTACACACTCCGAATCGATACCAGAACATCTCCAGAACTCACTGAACATCGACAACACCAGTGCAACCGCAATCATGGCTGATACTGTACGTCACAGCCCCACGTTCGCTTTCGAAATATCCTGTGCCTTGAAAGTGGGCTTGCTGCATGCCAGCTTCCTAGCTGGGACCTATTTCTACTTCTCTACAAATAGCGACATACTAACAGACACCCACGCAGGCCGATCTCCCTGACCGCAAACCCCGCAAGTCGGTCCAATTTTCCGAAGGTGCTACGATTGTCGACAGCAACGGCGACGTTACCGAATCACTAGAGATGAACGGCGACAAGGACTCCGCTGAGGGCCACGCCGCGAGTGCTGGTAAGATGGAGCACACACTGGAAATACATCAGTCGCTGACAAGCGGGGCTACAGGCGACGACAAAGAGGTCGAGGAGGTCACCGACATGTTCGCTGATCTCGCAAAGAAGGTGAGGCGCAAAAAGCATGCGCAACTATGAACATCTTGCTGACAAGATGCAGAAGAAGAAGAAGTCCTCCAAGAAGAAGGAAGGCGAGGAAGAGGACGGCGCCGAGGGCGACTTCGCCGCGCTGAAGAAGAAGAAGAAGTCCAGCAAGAAGAAGGTCGAGGACGACTTCGAGGCCAAGCTCGCTGCCGCCGGCGGCGACAAGCCCGAAGGCGAGGAGGAGGTCGCTGCTCCCGAACCTGAAGTACAAGAAGGCGACATGATGAAGGGCACCGGCATCTGGGAACACAACTCGACGACCCCCATCTCGTACAACCTCCTCCTGAACCGCTTCTTCACGCTCCTCCACGCACAACATCCCGACCTCGCCAGCTCGGGCACAAAGAGCTACAAGATCCCGCCCCCACAGTGCATGCGCGAAGGAAACAAGAAGACCGTCTTCGCCAACCTTGCCGAGATTTGCAAGCGTATGAAGCGTTCCGACGAGCACGTTGCTCAGTTCCTGTTCGCCGAATTGGGTACGAGCGGTTCATTCGCCGATCAGAAGCGCCTGGTCATCAAGGGTCGTTTCCAGCAAAAGCAACTCGAGAACGTTCTCCGACGATACATTGTCGAATACGTTACCTGCAAGACCTGCCGTTCGCCCGACACGGATCTCTCCAAGGGTGAGAACCGTCTCAACTTCGTCACGTGCAACAGCTGCGGATCGAGACGTTCGGTACAGGCCATCAAGACTGGTTTCTCGGCCCAGATCGGAAAGAGGCGGAGAATGGTGGGTTAGAGGAATTGATGTTATGCGCTTTACGATGTTCAATGTTATGCATGGCTTGGGCTGGGGATTCTCGATCAGCGGGCGCTACGGCTGTTGCTGTTATGACGCTTTTCGGCGGTATGAACGGTCATGATGATTCAAAGCAATGTCTGTGGAAGGTTCATGTACATTGAGATGAGTCAAAAGATACAGTCTAATAGACGTAGGAGAGGACTTGCTCAGTGCATGCGTAATATGTGATAGCTATAATACGCGCTGGGGAATAAGATGCAGACTAGCATGTGAGATATGGTGGGCGCTTAAGTCGGTCGCAAGTGGACCCTGATAGCTACGGTGCCTCCCGGAGCTCCCCTGCATCGTGGACGCATGCGAACATGTTTGTTTCTGGCCAACTCGAATCTGTTGATCCAAAATAGCTGCTCACGCATGAACGACTTTATGCTATTCTCTTACTCACCCGTGGCACAGGCTTGGCGCGTAGGCCAGAGCGAGGGAAGCGGGGCGCTGATTCGGCGGCTCGACAGACCCCGCTAGCCAGCAGCTGCGCGCTGGAGGCTGAGCAGCTTGACCAAGGAGACACCAACGGGGCGCGCGGTTAAAACGTCTATACTGCTTATGGTGCTGATGCTTCCGTAGACTAATCTAATCCCTTCTCCGCTCCTCTCCTCTCTCCTACATTGCGCGTGGTTGCTGCTAACATCCCCTTGCCTTGTTCTCTGAGACACAACTGCAGTCGCGTCAACTCGTCGCCTTAGGATCGCAAGCTTGAATATGTCGGGATATCAGGGAACTCCACCACCGGGCGGGAATTACTACCCTCGTGAGTCGCGTGTTGCGAAGTATGTGAAAGCAGACTGACGAGAAGTAGCACCGCCAGGTACATCTACACCTTCCACATTCGTCCCGTCATATACCAAACGCTCTTTCTCCAGCCTTCCAACACTACGATACCTCTCCTCCTGAACAGCCCTCTAACATATACCAGACCAACAGGGCCAGCAGCAGTACTATGCGCCTCCGCCAGGCGGCCAGTCCTATCCTCCACCACCCACATCCCCTCCCGCACACCAACAGCAGCAACAACACTACCCACCTCCGCCAGGTGGAAATGCCGCTCCACAACAACACTATGCGCCTCCGCCTGAGCAACAGCAATATGCGCCGCCACCCGAGCAACAGCACTTCCCGCCCCCAGGCCAAGCGCAATCGCCGCCCCCGCCTTTCCAGCAGCAGCAGCAACAACAGCCGCCACAACAACAGCCACAGCAACCGATGAGCCCCGGCTTTGGTGGATTCCCTGGCGGAAGTCCAAGTGCGACTCCCTCTGGATATCCCGCCGAGAAGACGGGTCATCCAGGCATGGGCCACCAGTCGCAGATGAGCCAGCAGAGCATACCCCAGCAACCGCAATACGTGGGCGCGGGCGCGGCAGCACACACATCACCCGCTAGTGCCTCAGCAGACGATGTAGGAACTTTCAATGGAGGAAGCTACCGCGTTAGCCACCGGGACACAAACTCCATTCTCACAGTGCAGTTAGCCATTGGATGTCCTTTTACTGCTAAACCTGGTGAGTGTTCCAACACGAAATCCGTACTTCGCCACTATAGGGAGTGAAAGATGCAAAGGACGAATGGCTGACACAACCTCAGGCGCAATGATAGCAATGTCCCACACCATGACGCTCAAGGGCAACCTGAAGTTCTCCCTGAAGAAAGCCCTCATGGGCGGCGACATGTCCAAATCCACATACACGGGTCCCGGTGAACTTCTTCTCGCCCCTCCTTCCATCGGCGACATCACAATCATCAAGCTCGGTGGGAAGGAGACATGGTCGGTGGGCCGCGACGCGTTCCTGGCTTGCACACAGGGTATCGTGACAGAGTATAAGAGTCAAGGAATCGGCAAGGCCATGTTCAGTGGTGAGGGACTGTTTGTGTACAAGATTAGTGGGACGGGCGTGCTTTGGGTGACGAGTTTTGGCGCGATCATCAGGAAGGATGTAAGTTTCCATTCATCCATCTCCATGCCAGATTGACGGAGTGCTAACGCGACCGACTTTTCTAGCTCGCTGCCAACGAGAAATACATCATCGATAACGGCCACCTCGTTGCATGGAACTGCAAATACGTCCTCGAGCGTGTTGCAAGTGGTGGTATCATCAGTAACATGACGGCGGGTGAGGGCCTTGTATGCAAGTTCACGGGACCGGGAACTGTTTTCATGCAGACAAGGAATGCGGCGGCGTTTGGGCAGTGGTTGGCCGCGAATGCTGCTGCGCCGTAGGTCGCATGCCAAACACGATGTATGATGATATGGGATAGTTGAGTTCAACCATGAATCAGAACAATCGATACCACCTACCATCTACAACAATCCAAAGCCACAGGACTAAACAACACCCCCCAACCCTCCCCTTTACTTCGGCGCCTCCAGATTCTGCACCCCCTCGACCCTCTGCACAACCCCAAACCTCTTCCTCCCCTGATCAAACACCGCATAAACCCCCTTCAACCACGTATCGCCCAGGATATCAAACTCGCTTTTCCCCCTCGACTGAATCCCACCATACTGCATCCCACCCCCACACTTGGAAAACCCAAAATCTTCCTTTTGGACTTCAAACACCTTGTCACCGACCGCCAGGGCCAGCGTAGGTAAATCCGTGACTTTAGTCCCTAAGGGGAAAACCCACCCCTGATGCGCTTTATCAAACACCGCACCAGGAATGGTGCTGTATATCTTCTCGCACAGTGCGTCATCCAGCAGCGCCAGTGTAGTCCCCGTATCGGCAATCGCCGTGTTTCCAGGTGGTCGTTGGATCGTCTCGCCGTTTAGCATGGCGGTGGGCGAGGGGAACTGCTAGAACCCGCGTGAGGAGTCGATGGGGACGTAGTGCGGTTCTGAGACGCCGCAGCGGGACAAGACGGTGGGGTCGATGTAGCCGAATGTGTAGAAGGATTCTCCGGCGTCGAGGTCGGACGTGTCGCGCCAGGAGCCGAGGTAGCAGGTGAAGAGTTCGCTGGAGGAGGGGATGTCGGCTTGGGAGATCATCTGGGTGGGGGGTGTTAGTGGTTCGTGGGTTTAGAATTGAGTAATGATGGAAAGGCTAGAAAAGGGGAGTTGGTGAAGATAGGGAAGAGAACTGACCGATTCAACAGGCGTAGCCACTTTCTTCGGTTTGACAGTATTGATATGTCCGAATCCTAGACCTAACAGCCCGTCTCCTGCGCCCGAAGTGAACTGCGGACTGAGTTTGTTGGCGAGTTCAATCGCTTGGTTCTCGATGCATAGGCCGCCGAGAGTGACATTGTCTGTGCCGACGATGCCAGAAGCCGTGGAGCCTGTTAATCACCGTCAGATAAGAGGTCTCCAACATGTGCCATTCACGACTGTGAGGCTAGGTGGATGGGCGAGGGAGGAGACGAAGGGACTCACCATCCCCATACCTGATCCTCCAACTCGCACCCTCAGCCTTCTTGAACGTCTCACTAGCCTTTGCATCAAAAACGTTGTGTTTCGTCTTTCCATTCACCGCCGCCTTCTTCGTCGCAGGATCTAAAAGGGTAGACTAAATCCAAAGATCACTGCTCCCAGTATCAAAATGCAAATTCATCACCTGCGGCGGCGATCCAATCTCCACCGGACAGATATACAACGCATCATTCTGCTGATCTTCCGCTTTGACCTCGCCCGGTTTGCCCTCCTCTTCAATCTTGCGCAGAACAGGTTTTGTCTCTTTCTTGGCCGCGGGTTTGAACAGGTTCTTTACGGATTTCGTGGCGACGTCGAGGACTTGGAAAGGCCCTTCGGTGGTGGGCGCGAAGTCGTATTTGCGGAGGAGGGAGGCGTAGGATTTTAGGCCGGCGCGTTCGCAGGTGGGATTGGGGAGGATGGATATGCGTTTTAGGTTTGACATTCTTGGGATGCAAAGAGATATACAGGGGGGTATTTTGGAGGTTGGATTGAAGTAAGAAGAACGAAAATAGATGGTGAGGACCTTGTATATAGGTTGGTCAAGACGAGTCGCTTTCAGGGCGTAGCAATAGTATTAGAGTTATTTTGAGGGACGAGGAGAGGATGTGGAAGTAGGTGATGACATTTGCAGCCATGCGCGCGCTACCTGCCGGTCTCACAATGCGCAGCAAGAACGTGCGGTGAACCACGACCGGCTCCTGCTTACAGGCCATCATATGTATTCCTTCCCAACAACGTCTACGCTTAATCAAATGTAGTCTTCTTGCCCTGCGACTCAACAATCGCTTGACTCGCCCGTTGAGTACTCATGTGAGCAGCACCACTCTTGATATTCCTCGGGTCGACCTTCCGCTTGCCACCCCGTCCGCCGTTGCTCTCCCCAAATTCTTGCCTGCCTCCTCTTTGAGCTCCTCCTCCCCTGCCAAAGCCCCGCTCGCGGCCTGTATTCTCTCCATCCGCACCCTCCTTCTCATGGCCGAATCGCTTGTGATACCTCGTATGGTTGTCTTCGGCGAACTCACGACGCAATTCTCTCCCCATGAGCTTGTTGACTAGCCATTTCCTTTGCTTGACGGGTTTGCTGGTGTCGACTTCGGAATCGCTCTCGTCCCTGTCCTTCTTGTTCTTGAACGCAGACGGGTCTTTGAAGACAAAGCCCTTGACCGCTGCTGTCGCAGCTTCCACGTCCCTGAAAGTGACCCAAGCAAAGCCCTTGCATTTGCCAGAATCTTCAAACGTTGCCATGTGTATATTATCGATTCTTCCGCATGGTGCGTAGTGGTTCTTGAGATCCTCTTGGGTGACGTCGAAGGAGAGGTTGCCAACGAACACGCGCTTATTGGGAGGGTTCTTTGGTTTCGCATCCTTGGCTCCACGTCCGTTGTCCTGAGTCTCTTCCGTCTTGGGCTTGTCTGGGCGCCCGTCGAAGCTCTTTGCATTCTTGATCAGCAGCGCGCGGTTGTCCATCTTCATCTCCGTCAGGGCAATCGCCGAGTACATTGACAGCTCAGTAGAGAAGTCGACGTATGCGAAACCCTTGTTCATTGGCTTTGTAGTCCAACTCGGCGGCGGCGGCCTCGTGGGAGGGGGCATGTGAATGCGTGTGATTTGGTCGTCGGGGATCTCGGTATTGTCCGTCAAGAACTTTCGTAGCGACTCCTTCGTGGCAGACCATGGCAAGTTGCCGATCCATACACCGTATTCCGAGCGCTTCGCGGCATTCTCCCTGTCTTCAGCTGAGTTTCCGTCTGTCTTCGCCTCTGTCTTCACGACCGATGCTTCTCCGTCTGCGTCGGCGGCGGGTGTCGGGTTCAGCTTTGCTTTCTTGGCTTTACGAGCGGCTTTCTTGGAGGCGGGTTCGGGGAGGTTGACATCGATCTCGAGTTCTTCGGGCAATGCTTCGCGCTTGCGCTTCTTTGCGGGTGTCTCTGCTGCGTCCTCGCTATCGGACTCTGCAGCTTCAGCCTTCGACTCGGCCCTCGCGCGCTTCTTTTCTTTCTTTTCCTTCTTATCCTTTTTCTCCTTCTTGTCGCGACGCTCCTTCTTGGAAACAATGGCAATCTCTTCCGCAGAGGACATCTCTGTATCTGACGACATTGTAGCGTGGATGGTGTTGCGTATCGATACTTTGCGGCTCGAACTTTTTTCTGGGGCACTTTTCGCTAGCATGGCCGCGCTAGAAGACCCTGGCTTAGTCATGCTCCACCCGCAATCGATCATGATCAAGGGCATGTGTTGCTGGTTAATCGGACTTTTGCCTTCGTCACATTGTTACAAGAAGCGTATTCAAGAAAACTACCATTGATTTACTACACATATAGAAGACATGGAAGGAAAGATCAAATTGAGCCAAGTAGGAGAGCCGTAACCGAGCCAGAGGCAATGAAGCACCCTACTCACATGTCCCGTCGAGGTGTATCGAAGCGCGCTCCAGCGCCTTCTCTGTATAGGGAATGTTGTGTGATCGCGATATTCTCCAGTCCATTCCTTTTGACGCCCCCAGTACCCAGAAATTGAACGCTTTAGACACCAACCAGGAACACTTTGCCTACCTTTGTGCTCACGAAATATGGCAGCTGTCGCCGACACCTATCAGACCGCTTACTGCATCTCCTCGTCGCTGGCATCGAGGATGTCGTACTCCTCATCGGTCATGAAGCCATCGTCGGACATCAGGGCGACACTCTCAGCATCCTCAAAGAACTCGTCATCTGAGGCAACGGTGACAGTACGTGCAACGGTGCTCTTCTCAGATGGAGAGGCGGGTTGGGCGGTGGTAGAAGACTCGTAAGTGCTGGATTCGGGAGACTCCTTATCAAGCTGAGGGAAGATCATGCCGGAAGCGATGGGCTCAGATGCAGACTGCTTCTCTTCGACTGGGAGTTCGGCAACTGGCTCTTCAACCTTGACCTTCTCCTTGGGAGAAGCAACCGGCTCCTGCTTGATAGTGGCAAGGGCGGCCTCGTGTTCCTTGCGACGGTTGGCCTCCTCGTGCACCTTGCGGCGACCCTCCATGAGACGCTCCATGGCAGCCTTGCGTACACGCTGAACACGCTCCATCTTCTGCTGATCCAGCTGTTGCTGCAGAGAGTGGTGTGCATCCTTCATCTTCTGCAGCTGTTGTTGCTGAGTGTGTTGCATTTGCTTCATGCGCTCAGCCCTGGCCTGTAGGAGGCGGTCATACAGAGGGTTTGACCTAGGAGCCACCTCAAATGTGGTAGCTGAGCCCGAGGCAGCAGTAGGAACCTGAACTGGCATGGGGATAGCTGGCTGAGCAGCGACAGGCGAGGGCACGGCAACGACTGCAATGTCACACCACAGGCGATGGCCGAAGGGCATACCCTCGGGGGTCTTCAGGCGCCAGTAGGAGATGGCAGTGCCCTCGCGCTGGGGTGCCTTCATCAGAACACGGAACTGGGCCTCCTCGCCGGCCTCGACAGTGTGGCCGACCACGTTGCTCTCGCTAGCTTCAGCAAGCTCAACGTGACTCAGAGGACGGGTGTTGTCGATGTTGAGCATGTTGTCACCACCCACGTGTCGGACGCTGCAGCCTCGTGGCCAAGCGTTGGGGCCAGGGTTGCGAAGAGTCCAGACCTGAACGAACTGGTGGCCAGCACAGATCTTGGAGCCATCAATGATGGTGTCCCGGATGAAGTGCGCGTCGAGGCCCTCGGTGGCAGTCTCTGACCTAGGGATGGGAATAGCCTCAGTCTTGACTGGCGCCTTGACCTGGACGGGTACGGCAGGCTTCTCTTGCACCGGCTCAACAGAGTCGACGAGAAGATCACGAATAGCAATCTTCTCCTTCT